TTAATAATTAAATAAAAACTATTCCGTAATACCTGCGGATCCCGTTCGGTTAAAATGATTGAGCGCTGATTTTAGTCTTGAATTCCAAGCTGTAAACCTTAATTTACGTCGTATTTTAATTTTTAATTACCGCAATTCTTTATTCTGAAAAGCTTATTGCTATTGCGTTAAAAAATCTGATGTATATTAATTTGGAGTATAATAATTACTGCCATGAATATAGCAATATTGTGGGAAAAGTAAATAAATGATCAACTACTCGACTCCCTGTTATATTCATTTCAATTCCTAAACATCAAATAATTTCTTTACGCAACTTAAAAATTTAATCAGGTCAAGGTCGTTAGTTCAAAATTCTGGTTTAATTTCTCTTGGTATTTGGAACCATTAATTTGTCACTGACTTTAGAGACACCATTAGCCTTCAGTTGCATCATCGATGCGATAGTTTGCAACGACGTGGCAACAAAGGCCGCTCGTCGCCTTGGAGCGCATGTAGGCATTTTACCCGCCTTGACAGCACAGCGAAGTTACGAAATATTCGTTCACAGCGCTGAACGTGAGATACAGACGCCCGTATTGCAAGGTGGAACTAAAACATTCTTCTCACTCTAGCCCATCGATGAAAGAAATTAATTATGTGATCCAAGATCTTTCCGTCCTAATAAATATTTTCCCTTGTTAAAATATATTTTTTGTTAAAAATCCCCAGGTTGAAATATTTTTTTTTGTTAAAATTTCCCATGTTAAAATATTTAGACATAAAAAATACTAATAATTTCCGAAATTCGAAGTCATTTATGATGCTGGGTGACTACGCGCTCTATTACGCGAGTAAATCTCGGAAGCATACAAACCTTAATTGCAGAACAGAAAACTCTAAATATGAAATGAAATAATATGAATGTCACTGATTTTTATTCATTGATACTATTCCTAACAATGAGATAGGAGCGTAAATCGTTTATCGTTCTTGCATCCATGAAACAAGCAGCAAAAGTCTCACTTAGTTCAGACGTTGAGCTCATATTTCGATCGAAATCTGTGTCGAATAATTTCCATTACGAGCTAAAAATGCAACTCATCGTTTTATATTTTTGCGGATGAAACAGACAGACCATTCGATACACTTATTACAATTTTTAACCTTCTGTTACAATAGCGCCTAACAGCCAGTGCAACATCTGGCAAGCTGTTCTCTTTTTAGCGCATTTTATCATTTATGGAAAAAATGCTCTATTGTGCTCACCATGTCCGTCTGTCTGTCTGTCTGTCTGTCTGTCTGTCTGTCTGTCTGCTTGTCTGTCTGTCCGTCCGTCTGTCCGTGACCATTTTCTCATCCGTCGACGAGTAAATGCGCTCTCTGTCACTCACTGCAGTGGGTACTGAGTTATATTTTTTATAAATACCGGCAATAGGTCGAGCATTCATATGCATGCCGTTTGATTTCACTAACTAAATTTGATTCAATCACTTTTTCATTGCTAACTTACCGTTAAAAAGTTAACTGTATGTGCAATGAAATTTAACGTCCTTATAAGACAAAAAGGTTAAAAAATCTATCAGATTATTCCACCCAGAGACCTCAACGACCGACAGGGTGTGATATCTACCAGACGATGTTATCTAATTTATTTCGTTAATTAAAGAACTTACTAATGTTATCTAATTGCGCGGAAATGTTTTCGAAAATATTTTTCATGCACTGTTTCCAAGGTCCTATAATATCCTAAGATATTTTGAGGAAGAGCTTAGAAAGAAACAAACAATTAATAATGTAATTATGATTACAATTACAATTGTAATTATAATTATAATGATAAATATACAACTTGTTATGCTTGTTTCTTGTTTACAAAATTATAATTATAAAAATTATAATTATAGTTCATTCAAGTTCTAATTAATTATATAATTCAAGCACTTTAATTCTAAAAAAAACATATCATTACATCTGTGGTCTGCAATTATTTTGCACTTCAGAGCCTCCACATAAGATGCATTTGGCAACACATAAATGATTATCTAAATGATAAATAAATACAATAAGTGATGAATAATTAAAAAACTTTCTTGCTCGTTGAAGGCATCAAATGTCAATAATTGTTTAATTGCCTTATAGTTTTTTTGTCGCATGGATTCGCCAGGCCATTGCCACTGTGCATTTTCCAAAAAAAAATATTAGTCCTGAAATTTCCCTTTTGCGTATATTTAAAAAAATCAATTTTCTGCATTAAAATAATGCCGGAAAAAAATTCACGAGGCAGGCAAGGTCGTAACTCCAAGAGAGCCTATAGAATCTTCCTTAATATTCAAGGGTCGTATGAAACTGACTTAGGTGCACGTTGCAGCATAAGTGCACGTCGCGGTGTAAGTAAACGTAGCGGCTCAAGTGCATGTAGCTGTATAAGTGCGCGTGGCGGCCGAAATACACAAAAGGCCTGAGTACACGTATAGTGGTTTAAACATTCGTAACGGCCTAAGTTCGTGTTGTGGCTTAAGTTCACATTGGACACAAGTTCATGTTGGGCACAAGTTCATGTTGGACACAAGTTCATGTTGGGCACAAGTTCATGTTGGACACAAGTTCATGTTGGACACAAGTTCATGTTGGACACAAGTTCATGTTGGACACAAGTTCATGTTGGGCACAAGTTCATGTTGGACACAAGTTCATGTTGGACATAAGTTCATGTTGGGCACAAGTTCATGTTGGGCACAAGTTCATGTTGGACACAAGTTCATGTTGGGCACAAGTTCAGGTTGGGCANGATGCAACCCCTGTCTCTTATACACATCTAGATGTGTATAAGAGACAGAGTCGTGACCGTGTTACTATAACACTTGTACTAGCAATGCAAGTAACTCTGCACAAGTCGTGACCGTGTTACTATAACACTTGTACTAGCAATGCAAGTAACTCTGCAAAATCGTGACCTTGTGACTAGCACTTTTGCTTGCTAGGTAAGTGACTGCAAAAGTCGAAACCGTGTAGAAGTCGCAAGTGTACACAAGTGTTCGTGACTTCAATTACAAACGTCCTGGTACAGCTTCTCTGTACCAACGAATTTCGCTTCCTGTTATTAATCAAGACTGAAAGTAAGTTCGCTAGTAAACAGAGGTAACGTATTTCAAATAAATCTTCACATTTTCGGAAACAGAGCAAAAGTGAGGAAGTAAGCTGATATTTATCTCAGTCAATATTGGCACGAGGATGTTTATGAATTGAAGGAAATAGGAAATTACATGAAAGTATAAAGTTAAAAAACGTAAAATGTGTTTCTAATTCATCTCCGTATTTTTGCTTCGTATGAACAATCAATACAAAAATTGATCAATATATACATTCAGGATGATTAATGGTGCCATGATGATTATCAGGATGATCAATAGCTCGAGTGGGGGAGTTAGCAATAATGATTAAATCATTTATTTAAAGCACTAATGAGTATGATTATCAGGATGATTATAGTTCAAGTGAGGGAGTTAGCAATAATTATTTAATCATTTATTTGAAGCTCCAAAGAGTCTGTAAATTCATCATCGTGTAGAAGAAGATGAATGATCTGTTGCAGTTGTTTTCTTTGCACAAGACGAATTGATTTAGCTTGCATTAATATATATATATTTTTTCACTGCAACATATGACTGACATTTTGATGGAATAAATAGCAAGGAATTGCAAGAATTTTTCCACCTAAAATTAGAAATTAAATTGAACTTTTAATGATAACTTTAAATGCACGAATTTGTTTGATCAGAACGGATTGTAAGAAATTTTATAACTATGTAAATAGTTTAATGTCTCAATTGTATTAAAGGTGAAACTACATAAAAATGTCTCACTTTATAACAAAAATGTTCACCAATGAAATTAAGATAACTTCGTTGATATTTCTTCTAAGAATAACATTCATGAACAACTATACTGTTATTATTGCTGGCAGTCTCTAATTCAAATTTTTGCTATGTAATTCTAATTGGAATTTGAGTCGTTTGAAGGACGGACTTTTTCTTGGATATTTAAATATTTTAACTCACACATTTTATGCAACAACAAATATAACTATGATATGCATGCTAGAGCAAAAGACCACGTGAAGTATCATCTTTTAGATTTCAATAAAAAAGAGAGTTTTCGTAGAATTAAGCGCAGCATATTTATACATGTAGTATAACTCCTAACTCATATATCCTAACTATAGTATATGTATAGTTAGGAACAAACAAAGTATGCATATTGTAACTAGTCAGTCAATCCTTGACGTTTCTCTATCGAAATGCAGCCGATGACAGTTGGAAAACATTCCAATAACACAACGAACATTTTACTAAAAAAAAGCAAAAATATGGTAATTGAGACCCGTTCAGTTGATGTTTTGATTTTATTTTCAGATTTAAGATAAGGATTTTTACATACAGTACATTCATGCGGTCATGCAAAAAAATGATATCTCAGAAAAACTGATGGAAAGAAGAAATTCTAAAGGAGAAACTGAGAATGTTCCTTGGTTACTTCATTCAGAGAAACTGATGGAACCAAGGATAAGCATTTATGAGGTAAACCATAGCATGATGGTTTTTGTTAACAGAATACGTGAGAAACAAGTTAAGGGGATCTTATTAAACGAAAATAAAGCTTTCCAACGCGGCTGTTTCACGATTATTGCCACTGCGTTGGTAATTGTGAATAAATCTGCACACAATGTTTCAAATAAAAATTCAATCGATCATTCATTTAATTTGACGAATGCCTTCCTTCTGTCGATAAAATAACCGTTCATAGGAGGCATCTTTTTATCAGCAAAATGTCGTGGAAAAATCGCCCAATTTTTTATAATTCTAGTCGGTAATAAGTCATCTAAACAAGCAAGAAGAATTACCCATACGAATTAAAATCGGATTTTCGGTTCGATTTAGCCCCGGGCAGAACAACTACACTTCCGGCTACAACTTTTTACACATTTTTATCACGATATATTAAATGTATATTTTATTCACCGAATTCCAAGAAGTTGTTGAAACTGTGCAGCCAGCTGAATATGTTATCCTTCCGCAGATGTTTCAAGGATGTATGATTCGATTGCCAGAAATGTCCTACAAAAACAACAACTTAGAAGTACACGTTTTCTAGTAGGCCTTGGAACCTGTTGCACCACCTGCATAGAGCGACACCTGCACGCACCTTCCACCACGACTGCCAGACGAGCACTGAATGCAGTCGACCAGGTCACCTGTTCGGTAGGAGGTCAACCTGCCATTTGCACCTGAGCCTGCATCTGATGGAACTATTATGCTTCTATACAATACTTGAGTGTTTGAGTGATGTGTGTTTGAGTGATGTTGTGTTGGAGTGATGTGTGTTTGAGTGATGTTGTGTTTGAGTTATGTGTCTTTGAGTGATGTGTCTTTGAGTGATGTTGTGTTGGAGTGATGTTGTGTGTTTGAGTGATGTTGAGTGTTTGAGTGATGTTGAGTGTTTGAGTGATGTTGAGTGTTTGAGTTATGTGTGTTTGAGTGATGTTGTGTTTGAGTGATGTTGAGTGTTTGAGTGATGTTGAGTGTTTGAGTGATGTTGAGTGTTTGAGTGATGTTGAGTATTTGAGTGATGTTTTGTGTTTGAGTGATGTTTTGTGTTTGAGTGGTGTTGAGTGTTTGCGTTATGTGTGTTTGAGTGATGTCGAGTGTTTGAGTGATGTTGAGTGTTTGAGTGATGTTGTGTGTTTGAGTGATGTTGTGTGTTTGAGTGATGTTGTGTTTGAGTGATGTTGTGTTTGAGTGATGTTGTGTGTTTGAGTTATGTGTGTTTGAGTGATGTTGTGTTTGAGTGATGTGTGTTTGAGTGATGTTGTGTTTGAGTGATGTTGAGTGTTTGAGTGATGTTGAGTGTTTGAGTGATGTTGAATCATTTCACCAAAGAGTTCTACGCATAGATGAAAACCATAACATGTTCCTCGTCTCATTGATGACATGCATCTGAATACCGACATGCCATTATATGTTTTTTTAAATAATTATATAATAGTTCTTTTGAACAGTAGATCCATGGAAGCTCTGACCGTCAGCTGCACGCCAGCAAAAATATTTACCTTTATTAAAACAAATTAATGGCTTGATGACGCTTGATGCATGATGGTACAGAAATTTACTCGGGAAAGGAAGTTTTCAAAGGAGGAAGAGAGCTTGGTGACAGCAACCCAATTAAGTACATGAAAATATCTCGTTCTTATAGTAAGTTCCGATCCTCGTTTTTTCTTAATACCATAATCGTTGCCGGGATTCCCGCTATTTTGTTACTTAACAATTACAATCTTACAATAGCAGCTTGCTAAGGCCGAACGACAAGGCAAATTGTCGTATACGGACGGAAGGCCACGCGGACTGCGGAAAGAACATTGCTGCGCCATTCTTGTTCTTGGAAATGGAAATCGGATGTGCCAGTTTAGGCGCGTATTTTCCGGCAGTTAAACGTGTTGACCAAGCGAAAAAGTGATATTGAGAAGGATCTTAAAATTTTAAGCCTTGATACTCCAACGTCTCTATGATATTTTGATTAAGATATCTTCGATTTTCATGTATAGGGATTTGTCATTTACTGCGCCGTGTTCACCTTGGTTTCATTGCTTTTATAGAATTATAACTAAAATATTCCTTGCCGTTTGAAGAGGATTCAAATTCTTTCCTAAATTTAATTTTTACATTTTTCGAAGGCTGCATTTGTTGAAAAATATTTTTCGAATCAATTTATAAGTTGCTTCTTAAAATTGCAGATTCCCGGTAAAATATTCTATAGATAATATATTGGAACTGGGCTAAAATAGTATGATAATATTAATATTTATATTACTTGTATCAGTCCATCTAGTAATGGTTCTGCTGTTTATAATCCCGGAAACTCTATTGGATGAAACCCATATATAGGATATTCAGGTAATCTAACAAGATTACTTAATTGTGTGTTAATTCACTACTCACTTAACATATACACTCACTAATCACTTTTAAGTTTTAACGTGTACAAATTTGTATTTTTTTCAAACTAATACTTTTATATACTGCAGTTTTTACAATTTTCTACGTTATTTTCATTATACTTCAACAGAGTGGCAAACTAAAAAAGTTTTTTTATTATGTAGCTATAGTGTCGGGATCTGTTAGATTCTGTTAACGACGTACCAGCAAATTGATGCCAAAACCTTAGATGTGTTTAAAAGTGCATCCAGAACACTTGTCTCTGTGAATAGGGTTTAAATGTTTTCATGCTCTAGCTTTTCAAGTCCTGGATGAAGTTTGAGAATGAACTTTTAATTCATAGTACGCCTTCAAATTCAAGCCTTACAGCGTTACTCATGCAATGGTTAGAATTTCATTGTTCTTCAGTAGAAGAGGTAATTCGATTGCGACTCGTTCGGAAGAAGCAAAAAGATAAAAAATATCTGGCAATTATATAAGACTTCATATTATAACGCATGTTATAATCCTACTTTCTATACAAGTATTAGTTTATTTAATAGCGTACTAGGATATAATACGGAGAAAAAGGCCTATGATGCATTATGTTGAATGCATTATACACATTACTGATTATACCTTTTCAGATTACTCTTGAATTTAAAAAAGTGTAGCTTGCGAGTCCCTCAAAACGGGTAAGAAGAACCAAATTATTTAGCAGGGTTTTAAGAAATAACATAATAAATTTACAAGTTTCGCGATGCTTACTCGTTAATTTGATATGTTGAATGAGTAACTTGAAATTTCAACACTATGATGACGCGATCAAAGGTGAAATAAAGTGCTGAAGACAAGATGAAAAAATCGAGCCGCGATCACGATCAGTGGCAGCAAATGTAGTACCTATATAGATTTCTATGGCACTCGCATCGTTGGCTTTGCACAAGTGGTTGCTGAGTTGGGAAATATCAAGTTAAAGTTCAGAGAAGAGTGCCTGGGAATTGCCACCTGAACAAATAATACGTTCGGTGCAGATGTCCATTGGCTTCTGCTGTATCATTGATGTCTTCAACAACTGATACAAATAAGTTGATCTATGATGGACTCCTCGGCGTTAACATTAATATTGATTCATGGAAACAAACAACGCGATTCAACGTTCGCAAATCGAAAGTATAGAAATTTATGAAATTAATAAAACATGAATTGTGATGCAGACAACGTGTCGTCAAAAAATATCAATTTTTTACTTAAATTGAGATCATAAAAAATCATCCGTTACGATTTCGAAATCATATGCTATGATTTATTTGTGTCGCCATACGACACTTGAATACCACTGATCAATTTAGGCTTCAGTTCCATCAGTCGATCGACAAGTTTTTGGCTTGCGATCCAGTCTTGGTGTTTGTAAATGAATTACGCGACAAAAAAATTCATCCGGGTACATCCGTTAACCGTGGGGAGTTTTTTGCTATCATTAGTTATTGATTAGGAATCCACACTACTATTTTTTAGTGTAGTTTGTGTGCTCGATTTTGGCTTAAATTAGAACATGCTCGAGTATTCCCCGCAATTATTGATAGGATAGTACGTTTCTCTTTGATTTTCAGTATAAATTCAACATCACTGAGTTGATTGTATTGTGATGCCACACATGTATTGTCGAATCCATAAAATTCAGCCACCAGAAAATATAATAATAATTAATGAATATTATTCAACAGGGTTCATGCGAAAGCCTAATTAATTAAAATTTTTCTAACACACTTTAGTCAAAGCATAACGAATGGGACTATCAAACGAATTCTAAACTAAAAGCAAATAATCTCAAATGAATTCCGAAAGATGATTCGACAGTACACATGTGTAAATATCTACCGTTTTTTAGACACACAAGTTAGCCGATAACTGAAACAGAATGATCATGATAGCTCATTTAGTTTGTCACGAAGGATACAAGAGATAACTAAATTTTTCAAATTAATAGTTAATACTTGTGATGTCGGGAGCATTTCCAAGTCTGTTCTCCGCAGATTGTCAAAATAACGATGCAATTTTCGCCCTTGAGTGGGTCATGCCCAGTTTTGCTGGTCCTTACCCAGTTTGAACCGCATAAGGGGGTATCAGTGCTATTTAGGCTCTCTATATGTTCAAAGGATAAGATAGTGCATACTATTTGGACAATAAGAACCATTCGTTTTTCTGAGTCTGTTAAAGGAATAATTTCATAACGCTGCTCAATGATACCAATCGCTGAGTAGCGGCAGACATCGCTTGGGTTCAGCTTCGAGATGCAGAAGCGTGTATTCGTCAGAATTATAACAGAATCATTATCTAGGGCATGGAAAAGACGATCATTCAAGCCCTTTTCAAATTTCTAAGTCACGCCTTTTGCGATCGGATAATCATGTAGGTACAGGATAATATGGCAGAAGAGCAAATTTTTGTAAAATAAGTCAAAGCAGAAATCGAGTCGACACTGAAACAAAAGGAAATGTTCATTAATTTAACCTTTCACATAATTCATTAATTCACTACGTTGTTAATTTAACGAATTAAGGTATAATTAATACAGATCAATACGATAAGGTTTTGACAGATTATTTGAGAAAACAACAGGTCATTATCACAGGAACCTTATGAAGCCACGATCGAGAACTGTGCTCATAGTAAGTGACATAACACCAACAATTAACAGCGCAAACGAGCACAACGGAATATCCGTATATACGTACAATCATCAGCTAGGTTACCCCAAATGGACCTCATCAACAAGTTGATCATAATTTATAATATTTCATTTTGCTTCGCGGCCGGGAGGCGCACAGGAAGTTGTATGTTAGTTCCTCAAATGATCCTCATCTTCCTATTCCAAAGATCTTTTCGGTAACCATCTCATCCCGCTTAACGATATGGATGATTTTATATTCACTCATTACTGTCTTGATTCATACATAAGTACAGTGAATATCATACTATTTTGAAGTTGAACAACAGGTTCTGGAATCTGGTCTGTCTTTCAATGGACCCATGTTTGTTCAAGTGTTATCTCTCATGTCATCTAGAAGTTGCCCAGAATTTTAATACAAGACTTGAATATTAGGATTTTAGATGTGTACATAGCTCAATATGAATGCATAATACACAAGCTTTCTAAGCTAGAATAATACATTTAATTAATGATTTCTATACCTAGGTAAATCTATCCCTCGCAAGACTTAAAAAATACCTCGTACATATGTTCAAAGGTAAGTGAACAGCTTCCATAGTGATCCCTGTAAAGCCAATTTTTGCTTTGTTAGGTTTCCGGATACAACATTACATTAATATATTATTGTATTCTAACTCTTTATTCAAGTGTCCGCAGCTTGATGGATCTTGTAAGAGTTCCATCGATCAGTTTCAAAATCCACAAATATCTATGTCTTCAATTCATTCCTTTACCAAAAACACACGATCTACAATTATTCGGATGACGTAAAAAGGTGAAAACCTATAGAGCCAATGAAATGCCTTTACCCATAACTGGTAAATGTGACGTCCAAATAAGACGACTCTCATAGCCCTTCCAGCAAAACGCCCCGTGATGCCGTCAATGACAACCCCACGCCCAGCAGCACGCCACTTGCCTGGTTTCTTCGGATCAGTGAAGAACTCAAGCAAACCGTACGGCTGAAATGTTCCCTGTATGCTGGAATTAACAGCTGTGATCGCAGAATCTATAACAACACCAGCACCGATACCTCCTGCAACAGCCCCAGGATGACCTAGTAGATAAAACCCAGCAAGTCCTCCCGCAATTACAGCAGTGGTATGAGATGCAACCCTTATTGCATTCATCGTCTTTCTCTTGGCATAACGAATGGTTCTTTTCACACGTCCAACCTCGGGTACATCATTTGCAATGGTACCCTCGAAGCTTTTGTCTTTTTGTGAGTCTCCGGCATCCTGAATTCTGCCAGGCGCATCCACAGCGGCAGTTCTAGCCTGGGAGTTGGCTGAGTTGCTGTCATGACAAATCAAATTGCCTGCTTCTGACTGATCCTTCAGCATCGTGAAACTCCCACTGACCGACGATTCCAGACGGAGAGGTATAGGAAGGGGTCCAATTGGTTCTGTAGAAATCAAAATAGACTTTAAAACTAGGAAGATTAATTTTAAGTGCTGTTAAAATTCATGCATATCTGTACCTTTACAAGAAACAGTATAGATACCAAAAGTATCAACTCCTACGACCTTGATTTTTTTTAACTAAATAATTTAAGATTCACTAACAATTGAATATTCGAAAATCAAGGTACAGTGCTCCAAATTTCTTGGAGAAACCATATTCGATAGCCATATTGGATGAGTGTTTCTCTCAAGTGTATATATAGTGACAGCAGTTACCAGTACTACAAGTTGTGTCCGTTTCTGCTCAATGATTCCTTACAAGTGGTTGCATTGTCGCGACTCTAATTCGTGGCAGAGTTCATTAATTCTTGTAAAAAATTGTATGGCTCTTGATAAACTATCTAGATGCATTACAAACTAATTTCTGTAACTACGTTTACCGCGCAAACGTTCATTTGTAACTATTTATTTCGCCTATGACGACGATCAAGTAGAGAGTATAGCATTTGGATAATTCTTTAGATATTCTGTAAATAAAATTTCGGAAATCATATGTTAAATTTTAACATTCATTGAATTTTGTAATTTTAAAATATTTTTATAAATATTGTTTTATAGTGGAAGGTAGATGAAATGTATAAAATATAAAATGTATTTACAAAAAATGTTACACGCAAATGTCAATTTACAAATGTCAATGTGTGTGAATATTTGATGAAATAACACTGTTAAAGTTTCCACTAATTTCATTAGTTTGTAAATCCTCAAACACGTGAATCGAATATCATCGTGGTTAAATGAGTAGAAAATTGACCAGCATAAATGTTATGAATTTGTGATACTTACCTTAATCCTCTCCAGCAATGGTCAGAAAAATTCTTCTGATCCAATTTTTTATGGTTTTAAAAATACAGTAACGGATGGCACAAGTCACTCTCTTCAAGTTAAGACATCTGTAGTTAGAGTGCAGTTGTGTTCCCAGTATATCCCAAGTACAGTATATACTGTACTGGTTTCTCAGTGTAGTTAGGCAGAAGCTGTTCTTCAATACAAGTTTCATTGAAGACCAGAGAATATTTCTTATTGACGAGTTTAATATTGCTTTACTCTATTTGGCAAATAAGGCTTCTTGTGGGATTGAAATATTCGAAAATCAAGGTAAATTTGAACTTTAAGATCCCACATAAAGCCTAATTCGCCAAATGGAAACAATAAAAAATCGTCGATAAGATATACTCTATGGTCTTCAATAAAACTTACATTGGTGTCATGTATGTATTGCTGAAACAACGCCTTCGGAGGCGTTTCATTTTCATCTGCATTCCTTCAAACTACCAATAAACTCTAAATTCCTGTAGGGCATTCACAAGGAAACTTGTTACTCACTTTAGATCGAGAATCGAGGGGTTTTATGCCAGCATATAACTGCCGTTTACTTCTCAGGCTAAGCTTAACAACTCAAGTTAAACTTAAATTAGTCAACTAATACCAAACTTCGGTTAGCTCCAATGCTGACTGCTGAATAGTCCTTAGTACGTCTTATCGGCAAGAACAGATAACTATTTTCTATTAGTAAATTAGATGCAGTAAATTTAATTGTCATACGTACCGAATATATATTTTTCCTTGAATGTTAAGGTTTAGCATTGCCGCAATAGGCATTGAGAATTATTTAAATTCCGTTCCATGTAGAAATAAAACAGAAGTAATTGTTTCATGATTTATCAAAACATAATGATTTATTAGACGAACAAGAAATAGATTGTTGCTTCTCTCACTCTATGACTTTGACGGCCTGTTCTATTCCGCGCTCAAAATTTTAACTGCGAAATGAGCCTCGTTCAAAAAAGCTGATTTTAAAATGTTAACCAGCTTTTTTGCATGTAATAAATACAAAGAATCTCCTCGCAGTCTATTGCCATAAGTATGCTTTCCTGTCAAGCATTTAGTTCGATATAACCAAATAAAAAATTACTGATAATTTTAAGTGAAAAACTACGATTACATAGACAACAGTGCGGAATATTTTACATAACGAGGAAAATTGGTCGTACATATAAATTAGCTTTAAAAAATTCCACAGCCGGTCTTGCGTATACATGAAACGGTATATAGGCATATAAGTGATCATACTATGAAATTCATCGTATTATAAAGCGAATTTTCATCATTCACCAGCATAGAATATAACAGGATATTGGTTACATCTCTCATGCTAGCAACAAAATTTTGGACTTATTTAATCAGAATCGTAATTATAATCAAGCTAACTTAGTACCTCCAGGTCCTGTAAATTAGGAGGAATGCACTGAAATATAAACCTTAATAGAAAGTTAGAACTCTACTAAAAGGCAGCGTTCACTAACATAACATAGTGATGTCGGAGCTGAAGTGTAGGCCTGATGTGGCCTTTCACCGATTCTTGAACTTTTCGTGACTTGTTCACAGAAGATCTAAAATCGTGTCATTTAACAAGACCTTTTCAGGACTGACTATAGTTTGAAATAGCAACTAGACTTCCACCGGGTTCGATATGGTGCTAGGCATTTCGAAGCGAGAAGAAATGTTTCGCGTGGATAAGATATTAGTAACCAAATTAAATTTTATGTCTAACAAAGAATCTAATTTTTCAAAGGAGACGGTCTGTCTAAACAGTGCCATGGCATAAAAAATATTCTCTGTTCAGCATATCACTCAAGAGGCAAGTGCAATCAACTCTCTAAATTCATCTCTTAGTCCTGGCTAGAATTTTCACAGCTACTCCAAGCCAGCAATGCGGGATCAATTGAACACAGTTATCGCAGAATCTTTTATTATTATTTCTGTTGAACAGCGGGACAGCAATTTCAAGCAGAAATACAGATACGATTATAATGTCTTGTTATATCAGCAGGATTCAGGATTCCAACCAATAAGAAAATGGACTATATCTCATTTAATCAGAGGAACAAATAAGGCCAACCCGTGGTTTAGTTTGCCTTCATTTTAGGAATAAAGAAATTGAGAAAAAATACAATGTATTTTTTCTCAATTCTCATAATACAATGTACAATGTATTAGAAAATATTCAGATAGAAATATTAATGTAGCACCTACTTCACTCTGTAGACATGATTAGAACCTAACATTTTACGAATATGAACAAATTTACCGCACTAGAACATGAACAAATCTACCACACTAGAACATGAACAAATCTACCACACTAGAACATGAACAAATCTACCACACTAGAACATGAACAAATCTACCACACTAGAACACGAACAAATCTACCACACTAGAACACGAACAAATCTACCACACTAATCATGGAATCATCACGAGGACTCATTCCTATAGCAAATCAAGTCATTCTTGGTGTAGTGAGCTAATATACATTATCTTTTTCTTTTATCTTAATTATTATTGAAGCGCTGGAAACTAGTCCATGCAGCCCCTTGCTTAAGCAGGGTTTTGCTGGTGCTTAACAGTTACCTATAGGCTATATGAAAATACAAAAATCGGTAAAACGTGGCAAAGGTAAAGCGTTAATTCTATTTATTATCTTCAACAATGCTTTGTCCGCGCCCTGAATGCTTCAACCAAAAACTTCATGTCCCACCTACTCTATACGGGACAATGGCATACTATAAAAGTCTTCACAGAAATTGGAAATGTCTGTGTGAATAGAAAATTCAAGAGGATAGTAGTAAGAATCTTTTCCATGAGTGAAAGCTATTAGATTGTTAATTTTTATAAACATGAACGATGAATGCATTATATAATTTTTCAATCCGTCGATCAATAGGCCGACCAGCATTGTCGTTCAATCATTTTTACTTCTAGCTTTACCATCATTTTCGGCAGAGTCGTGGCACTTTCCACGCTGAGTCGCAGCACTTGCCAGGATCCTTGGGATCTTCCAAGAACTCGAACATGCCGTAAGGCGAAAATTCTCCTTTATTTTCCGAATCAATACATGATACGGTGAAATCGTATTGGGCTGCCATACCAATACCCCCAAAAGCAGCTCCAGCAGGCCCTCCTGCAACAAAGCCTATCGCCGAATAAGCAGCAATAGCTGCGGAGCGAGTAGCAGATTTCTGAGCAGCCACGTACCCGTCTTCATCTCCCACGGCGCGATGAACGAATCCCTTCAAGTGACCAACAACTGGAACCGCATCCACTGTTCTGCTCAAGAATTTTGCACATTCTATTTGAGTTTCCAGAGCGGCGTCCGGGTCTCCCGCAGCAACCTCTATCGCTGATCTCGCTTGAGAAATAACAGGGCATTGACGAGTAAAGTTAATTTGCGTCTGCCAGGCTCCTTTAAAATCGCCGAACGCAAATTGAACCCCCGACTTCAGTTGAGAAAAGCCTGGATACGCGTCCATCGCTTCTGAAAAATGGTTAGCACATTAGACGGATTTCTTTGCATTTCCCACAGATAACTTAACAAACAGCTATACGCACGTAACGAAATGCATTTGTAAACATAGATAAAAAGTATTTTTTCACGCATTAAGTTGCTAATTTCGATTAACGGCAGAAATCAAGCGGAAATAAATTAATTTAGAGACACCTAAAGATTACTAGAAACAGTCACACTAACAGAAACTCGTGTTAAGTTTATCCTATAGTCTCCAAAAAGTTTCGGACTAGCGAGATATATGTAGTTATAAAACATTATTAATTCATTGTATGCTAATAACAGAGTTTTATTCAGTTGGACAATTACGGCAAAACCTTTTTTCTTTCCCTGGAACAGCCAGAATTTGTGAGAGTTAACCTTCTGCCTACCTTTACCACTAGAAACAAAATTCCTCACTCCCTATCACGATTATGCGGTTCGGAAGTTTGGAGTGAATGCAATTATTCTGTCAGTAATTACTAGAGGATTTATAAATCAAGCATAACATAAAAATGCCGTTGTTATGCAATCTACTATATAAGCCGTAATTCAGTAATTAATAGCCGAAAATTCAAGGAAGAAGATTCGGAATCTGAATCTTGTTCAAGGAACAAGATTCAGAGCATGTTGGATGATACGTTCGGCACACAAGTCCGACCTAGTATAAAAAAGATACTCTAAAATAAGTGGAGCATGGGCTTTAATGTTGTAACCGGGTTACTTATTGAGTTTTTATCTCAAAATAAATCCGTTCATTCATAATTTAGTCATAATATCTTTGTATCAATATTTTTGTAATTTAGGGTAATAGTTATCATGTATCATTTTAGGGTTAAAGAAACCGACTTCTAGAACCTTTAGTAAACAATCGGTATTTTTCTTACAATACCTATTTTCTGCCCATGCTCCTTTATTCCCTGGTTTTATTAAATTTGTAAATCTGGTCACCAATATACATCTATCTTTCCGTGTTATTTATTCATGGACTCTGCGCTAATAGTTTACTAAAGTTAGTTGCCTGAGAGACAGAAGTAGGTCACCTAGGGTTGACCTCACCCGCAAATGCGCCGGCAACAATGTCTTTTTCACATATTGTTATCGTGTATCTCACACGCGAGTACTTCAAATTACACGCATTTCACAAACACAAATAAGTAAGACATTGAAGTTCAAGTGAGTTTGGAAGCTCACCTTTAGAGTGAGAAAGGACGAGATCTGATTATAGCAACGGGCCTAGCATCGAAGTTAGCATCGTGAGTGTCGGAATGATAGGCAAAGTGTGTTTAACACGTTACGTGCGGCAAGACCTACCGGTAGGTTGCAGGTATTTTTTCAGTACACATTCCGCTATTTATTTTTTTAATTGCATTGGCCGAAAAAAAAGTTATGACAGTGCACTTCCTTATTAAATTTTAGAAGTAGGAGTAATGAAAATTTGATTTTTGCACTGAAACTTAATTTACAATTGAATATCAAATAATAGGCGTCTTTTGTCCGCGGAATTAGCTGTTTTCAGGCCATCTGGCAACCGTGGTGGGTCACAGCCATGCGCACACTTAACGTGTTAAGTTCGTAAGTGGACGACGCATGCCCCTACTCTCCCATTCAAAAGCTGGACTGTCGTTTAAGAACTACTTTTGCAACATTAAAATAACCCAATGATTTCATAAATATCAATATTATACGAACCTGTTTGACACAGATGTGATTTGGTGGGCAAGAAGAAACGACGGTTTTGGTTTAGTAGATTTTACTTGCTGTCGTTGATGACCTAAGCTAGAAATAAGATTTGATATTAGTTATTATGTCAAGAAAGACATACATGAAACTTACACTATGCAGGGACTGGACTCCCATTGTTTAAGCTTAATTAATAACGTTGTAGCTGAGCGTTGTTAATGACTGATAGATGACACAAGATTACAGCTGGCGTGACAAGTATGGTTAATCACAGGCCACAGCTTGGTCAATACGTATACTCAATAGTGCAGTATTTCAATAGTTTTGTATAATAGTCCAGTCCCTGCACACAAGGTGGTTTTGACAGGCAAGAAGGAGAGACGTCAACTTTGATAACTACGTTAAACAATTTAGGCTTCAAGGAGAGGTAAACAAGATTTACCTACGTATTATTGACGTTTCCTTACATATGCTTGCATTTGCCAACGCTTGGGTTGGGCTTCGATTACGCTTCAGATATCTGGAATCGTGAGATTAGAGATTGCGTTTAAAGAACAATATCTTAATAAAACAAATAAAAAAACTTATAAAAACCACTTTTTCTTAATGGACAAAAAAGAACAACATTAACTCGTACATACGGTAACATTAAAGTTATGTAAAATGTTATGTAATGTTATGTAGGAGTAAATGTTTTTCTTTTTACAACACTTCTCTTTAACTTCATTTCTTGTCTGTTTGTTTGTCTGTCTGCTGCAAATCTTATAATCTATATTTAACACACTTCTACCTGTCCAATTGATCTAAAATTTTGCACACTTGCGTAAAGTTGGAGACAATGCATGAGTCAATTAACAGAATATATAATTTTAAATTAAAAAAAATTTGTAATATGAAAAATTGAAAAAATAATTTTTTCTTCTACAAATCTTATAATCGATATTCAACACACTTCTTCTACCAGTCCAATCAATCTGAAATTTTGCACACTTGTGCAAAGTTGAAGACAAGGCATGAATCATTTGACAGAATAAATAATTTTAAAAATTTATTATTTTTTTCACATATTAATATTAAAAAAATTAAAAATACATTTTTATTAATATATGAAAAAAAAAGAAATTCATTGTAGATGTGTAACATAGGAGACACTGTATTTTTTAGAAGTGTTGTCTTTAAAAAGTAATTTTTAAACGCATATTATTGTCCATTAAGAAAACGTGGTTTTCAAAAGTTTTTTTATTTGTTTTATTTCTTGGTTTTTAATTTTGTAACCACCAGACGTGTGATTACAAAATAAAAACGTAAAATTTTATATTTTTAGTTTAGCAATTCAAATCATTTTCCAGGGTTGGCAACTCTGGATGTTCGACAAAAAAATCGATTCCCAACCCTGAATTTTTAGGGTTTTTTCTAATTTTTTTTAACTTGTTTTTTTATTATTATTACTTCTGATGATCAAATCATGAATTGTTAGGCAGCATAAGCATGCATACCAAATTTCAAGTTTCTAGGATCGTCGAAAGTGCTCTAAATTAAGGTTTGAATCTTTGATGACAGACAGACACGAAGCGAAACTAAGAAAAACGTGGTAAATAAAATTACCCATTATATTCCAATTCAAAATAGATTCAACGAAAAACAAGTCGGCAGTGAGGCCGTTTAGATGAGCGGTAGGAGAGAACAAAGTAGTCTCCGAAAAATTTTTCTCTATAAAGGAGTCGAAGAAAACGGGACAGCATCTTTGCTATGTATGCATCTTGATAATAATGTAATAGGACACAAATAAATATTTCGGGGTCTAGGAGATACCATATCTAATATGAAATTTAAATCCAACAGTGTAATAAATGGGACGTAGCAATAATATGCCAAATAAATTTCCTTTTAAATTTTCCTTTCCTCTCTTTTCATCTTATACTTGCACAAACTGTCTCACGGTCCCACCCATGGTTGAACTAATATAATATAAGGTTGACCCACGGCGATGACGATTTTTCGCCGTTCTGCGCATCTCTAGAGTGTCGTCACGGTGGGCACAAAATGTAAAAAAATGTAGATAAAAACGTTGTTTTTATGTCATCTTTGAAAGCAATATAAAAAAAATTACCTCTTCAAAATGGCTCAAGAAATTTTATTACTGCATGTAATTAGTCTTATTTTAAGCAAAACCAGTGTTACAAATCAGTTTGACGTCACGATGGGACGTAACAAGAGCCAAGGTGACGTAACAAGTAACGAGGTGACGTAACAAGGTAACAATAACCAAAGTGACGTTACAGTTGGAATAACAAATAACATTCGCAAGGCGCGGCTGCACTAGGGAAAACCTTGTATTACAGTATTAGTTCAACCATGAAAGAAATTGACCTCATTAAAATGGCCCAAAAAATTTATTTACTGCAACTAGTCTTATTTTAAGCAAAACAGGTGTTACAAATCAGTTTGAATCACACGGTGACGTCACATCGACCCATGTTTGAACTAGGTATATACTAGTTCCTTGACTAGTTCAACCATGACAACGACTAATGTGACATCACGGGTGGAATAACAAATGACATTCGCAAGGCGGAGCTGCGCGTGGGTCTACCTTGTATTAGTAGTATTAGTTCAACCATGGTCCTACCCCTCTAGCCTCTGCTTTAATCATTTAATGTTGCTTCTACCTGGCTTGGTTTCCCTCTTCTCCCCTACTAACAAAACGGATATGTGACGTGTGGCAGATGGCCGTTGTAAAGGCCTGACTCCTGAATGTCCTTTTCAGAGTCACCACGCCCAAAATCCAAAAGCAGTCGCTATATCATTAATCATATGGCGTACAATTAATTTAAGGCAAAATCACGAAAATGAGGCAAATGATCCAAAAATATTAAATCACTACACCTAGTTTATGCAGCAAAATAATTCCCTTTCAAACTAATTGCCCGAGTTCATTCTAAAAAATCGATATGAACTATGATATAGCAGCCTATGAGTAAGTGTTAGACTCCTGACAATGGCCGCCAACGATGTCTTCGCTCAGCGTAACTCGCTGCAACAACTTCAATCTTCACTCAATAACATGAACTTGGTATTACAAATTCTGGAATCATACACAGTAACAGACGATAGAGGAATACACAGATAAGGGAACCACAATTAGCTATAGCAACATATTAAAAGGTAACACTGGGCGAGTGGTTTGAGCTGCTTCATCCCACTCGCTCGAGCTCTGTCAGGGCACTGATGTGACTGTGATGAGTCACTGCATGATGACGATGCCGAGTGTCAACTAGGGAACCGCTTGGAGAGTGGAAACTCGCTGCATTCACCGAAGAATAATGTCGTTGGTCTTACCGATATTTTCCACGCACTTGTTAATTAAAGTACATGCCGGAGTAAGTGAAATTTTCAGGAAATAATAGACATGGATAGGAAAGCTTCGTGCGTTGAATCTGACGAGAGACGAACGTAGTCACACTGCTGTCAAAGCTGCCTACTTCTGATGACAAGCAATCGTTGTAAGCTGGTAAGTTTGTCGGCAAGACCAGGAGGAAAGCAAGCGACTTCTTCCTTTTAAACTCATTATTTATCAAAAATTGTTCTATGTTAGACCTTATCTGTGCTTCCAGATTAATTTATATCTCGTCAAGACCCAATGAAACCCTTATTGCCGCGAATTTTGTTGATTGTTTTTATGATGACGTAGCTTTAATTTTATTTACTTGTGGATGAATACAATTGATAACTGACTATTTCATTAACCAAGGAGACAAAATAATGATGAGCCAAGTTTCAACCTCTGTTCCAACTTATTTGGAAAATACCACTATATGACCATTATTTTTAATGTTAGATGCTCCCTAGGACCAAGTTGTTCCAATCGAGTCCTGTTTTTGATATAATGTTAGGTCTTGTTTAGGTTGTATGTCTGTTTTAGAATTTTGACTTATAAAATGATTTTAATCGTTTAGATTGTCGAACTGAAGATGGAGCTCGACTCCGAAACGTTTTCAATATCGATATGGTGAATTTGCTTGGCGTTTTCTTTGCTTTTAAATTCCTTTTGATGCTCCAATTTATAACAATCCGGTGGTGTGAAGCCCAATCCACGCAAATATTGCTTGGCAGCGATTCGTCCGACTAATCTTCGATGAAAATAGCAGCTCCTCGCAATATCCAGTTACATAAAACTTTAGGTATGCAACAATTTTGGGGTTAATAAAATTGAAATCGGCATAATTTTCACTACTCCACTGATTTGAAGTTTGCAAGGTATATCTTTTTTATATAATCGTTGCATTGTTCGATGAACTAAATATGTAGTTCATAATTATATGGATCAATCAATCATACTTAATAAATACACGAATATCGTCTTTGAATCGGTATTTCCGACAGATTTACTATGAGTAATTTTTTACGCAATTCATTTATAACACATTATAATTGTAATCTAACAGGGGGCTTCCGACGGGGCTAAAAACTATAATTACTTCATAATTAATATTCACGACGTCGCGCATATTAGCCCAATTTTTAGCACAAAAGACAGATGTATTTACCCTTGAGTAACCACTTTCGCTCTCCCATGCAGTTCACATGGTAGCAGTCACCATATCGCGCCCTCGGAGTTGAAATTTTCCCTAAAAAATCTTATACCTGCCAAATGGATTTCCATGAATGACATATGAAGGGGCACTTTTGTATCAATAGTACTTTTTTCTGACGATTCCGGTATTCCCAAACTTGTCTCACCAGATAATTACGTCTTATGATTGCTTAACAGCGTACTTTTTGTCACTTTTTTGATGAGGTATTCACTTGTTTTTACCGATAACTTCAGCGTCGTATTAATGCCGCAGAGTTTTTCTACTCGTAGACATACGTGCACTCCTCAGCCAAAAGCGGTCTTTTGATGCCCGATGTCCAGATGCTGGGAAAATATTCATTCAAATTTTTTTTTATTTCTTCGGTGGGATCCATTTTAGAGCCCCGAGAATTTCGGATATTTCGAATATCGGTCTATTAGTTTTGTGCATGCTGTTATGACAAGCAATTACTTCTAAATTTTGACAAATTATAAAACAGAATTTGACGACTTCTTCCGACACTAATCACATCCTTTACCAGAAGCTATTCCCTTAGTCCATAACTTTACATCGGGTCAGTTAGGCCATGTATCTCCAGCCTACAATTTTAGAGTCAATATTGATCATGCTCGCTTGTTCTAAAGACGCATTGTTTTGATAAAGAGACCATCTTGTGCAAATGAGCGCATCCATTATGTTTTCGTTGATCATGACCACGGTCTCAGGCTTCCTCGAATCCTTAATATCCATACAAATATTTTAGTTCCATCATACATATAAATCTAGGATATTGTGGCAATTTCTTTGAGGTTTACTGGTACATCTTGGCAGAGGTGGGCAGTAGCGCACTACATGTAGCGGTAGCGGTAGCGACGCTACATTTAAGGTAATGTAGCGGTAGCGCCCGCTACATATTTAAGTAGCGATACGAGGTTTTGCCGCTACAGCGCTACCGCTACTTTTATAGATAAAGCCTTTAGATTTTACTTAATAGTATTCAAAGTAGGCAGAGGTTCAGAGATACAATTCCCACAATTTCATTCAATATGTCCACCATCTGCATCAATAACGAGTTGTAGACGCTTCGAGAAAGCCTTACAAGAGTCACGAATGACACTCTACGGGATTTTGGCCCACTTCTTCAGCAGTTTGACCTTTAGGGCGTCCAAACTGTGATGGTGAACGATCGAGACCTTGCTCTCAAGGTATGACCAGATCCCAAAATCCACAGGATTCAGATCGGGTGACGATGGGGGCCATTCATCTTTGGTAATGAAGTGAGGAACATTCTCGGACAGCCACTCCTGAATTAATTTGGCCCCATGGGATGGTACTGAGTCCTACTGGAACGACCAGGGACGTTTTTGAAGTGCTTTTGTGCCCAGGGCAACAATGCACAAACAAGGATGACATCTCGATTGTTCTTCTGATTCAATTTCACCCCTTTGTCAACAAAAAAGATTGGACTCCTTGAGGACTCTGTTACGGCTGCTCAGACCATCACTGAGGTCGGGCATTGCTTCCTAGTCACCACACGGGATCCTTCGTCCCCATTGTTCGACCAAATTCGATTATTTTGGGAGTTGAAGTGGTGTTCAAAATTGAACATCTTCTCATCACTGAAAACGAGGTTTGGCAGCGTGTCATCATGTATGCGGGAAAGAAGAATCTTGGATCTTTGGAGGCGTTTGTCAACAACTTGAGCAGACAGTTGGTGTTTTTTGACACCATTAAGATGATAAATTATAAACAATGATATAGATTAATGAGAAGGTGTAAACAAATGACAAATATTAAGGACAATTATCAACAATTGATTTCGAAAAAAATGTAACGCTAAATATTGATGACCCTGTATGTGGATGATTTTTGAGTTTGGTAGATTAAAGTAGACATCCATGTAGGGAAGGTAAAACATAAAAATAACTGTAACTTTTATTTACTGTATCTATATAACCCGTACTAGTTCGGTTAGGTTAATTGCAATATAGTTGCGTTGACATGTTTTGAAAATGTTTTATTATCATTAAATGTTTATGAGTAAATCCCAATAGCAGAACAATAAATATTTAGAGATTTCCAATAATTTTGGCCATTGTAGCGGCTAATGTATCGGCGCTACATTTTACTGTAGCGGTAGCGGTAGCGCCGCTACATTTCAAAGTAGCGCTGCCCAGCTCTGCATCTTGGTATAGGAAAGAGCTCAATACAGTTTTTTTTGTGTTTGTCAGTCCAATATCAATGAACGTGTTCAAAGATTAGATGAATCGTTGGTATTTTATATTAATAATTAATGTTATTTTAAACGAGGTATTTTATATTAATACTATAATGTCTTGATTCGTACATAAGTATAGTGAATATGTTCTATATAGAAGCTGAACATCTCGCGTTCTGTAATCTGGTCCATTTATTAATTGACCCATGTTTGTGCAAGTGTTATCTCTCATGTCATCTAGAAAAAAGTTTACACAGAATTTTAATACAACACATGAATATTAGGATTTTAGATGGATAGTGCAACATATATAAATAATATACAAGCTAGAATAATACTGTTATTCAAGTATATTTATATCTAGTTAAATCTATCCCTCACAGAAATTAAAAAAAATACCTCGTAGGAATGTTCGGAAGTAAGTGAACAGCTTTCAGAGTGATTCTTGTAGAGCCAATGCTTTGTTAGGTCTCAAGATTCAGCATTATATTCATATATTATTGTATTCTAACTCTTTATTTAAGTGTCCACAGCTTGATTGATCTTGGAAGAGTTCCATCGATCAGTTTTAAAATCCACAAATATCTATGTCTTCAATTCATTCCTTTACCAAAAACACCCGATCTACAATTATTCGGATGACATAAAAAGGCGAAAATCTATAGAGCCAATGAAATGCCTTTACCCATAACTGGTAAATGTGACGTCCCAATAAGACGACTCTCATGGCACTGCCAGCGAAACGGCCCGTGATGCCATCAATGACAACCCCACGCCCAGCAGCACGCCACTTGCCTGGTTTCTTCGTATCAGTGAAGAACTCAAGCAAACCGTACGGCTGAAATGTTCCCTGTATGCCGGAGTCAACAGCTGTGATCGCAGAATCTATAACAACACCAGCACCGATACCTCCTGCAACAGCCCCAGGATGACCTAGTAGATAAAACCCAGCAAGTCCTCCCGCAATTACAGCAGTGGTATGAGATGCAACCCTTATTGCATTCATCGTCTTTCTCTTGGCATAACGAATGGTTCTTTTCACACGTCCAACCTCGGGTACATCATTTGCAATGGTACCCTCGAAGCTTTTGTCTTTTTGTGAGTCTCCGGCATCCTGGATTCTGCCAGCTGCATCCAAGATGGCAGTTCTAGCCTGGGAGTTGGCTGGGTTGCTGTCATTAGGAATCAAATTGCCTGCTTCTGACTGATCCTTCAGCATCGTGAAACTCCCACTGACCGACGATTCCAGACGGAGAGGTATAGGAAGGGGTCCAATTGGTTCTGTAGAAATCAAAATAGACTTTAAAAAAAAGGAATAGTAATTTTAAGTGCGGATAAAATTCATGCATGTTGTACCTTTCCAAGAAGCAGTATAGATACAAAAAGTATCAACTCCTACGACCTTGATTTTTTTTAACTAAATAATTTAAGATTCACTAACAATTGAATATTCGAAAATCAAGGTACAGTGCTCCAAATTTCTTGGAGAAACCATATTCGATAGCCATATTGGATGAGTGTTTCTCTCAAGTGTATATATAGTGACAGCAGTTACCAGTACTACAAGTTGTGTACGTTTCTGCTCAATGATACCTTACAAGTGGTTGCATTGTCGTGACTCTAATTCGTGGCAGAGTTCATTAATTCGTGTAAAAAATGTATGGCTCTTGATAAACTATCTAGATGCATTACAAACTAATTTTTTGTAACTACTTTTACCGCGCAAACGTTCGCTTGTAACTATTTATTTCGCCCATGACGACGATCAAGTAGAGAGTATAGCATTTAGATAATTCTTTAGATATTCTGTAAATAAAATTTCTGAAATCAAATGTTGAATTGTAACATTCATTGAATTTTTTAATTTTAACATTTATTATAGATATTTAATAGTGGAAACTGGAAAGTAAATGAAATGCACAAAATATTTGGCAATTTACAAAAATGTCACACGCAATTAAAGTTTTAATATTTTAAGAAAACAACAGCTAGAAATCGTCTCCAGGCTGCATCATTTCAAACATAATTTTTTCCCATCACTGTCGAGTGAAATTGCTATTAGGAGTGAAGTTGAGTGAATATATGATGCAATAACACTGGTAAAGTTTCCACTCATTTCTTAAGTTTTTGTAAATCCTCTAACACGCGAATCGAATATCGTCTTGGTTAATGTAAGGTTTTTAAAATAATAAAAAAATAAATGTAATAATAATATAAAACAAATTAATTTAACTAATTAATTAACATATTTAAATAACAATAATAAAACAAATTTAATAGAGAATGTTCAAAGACGTGCAACAAGGATTATTGCAGGCTTGAAGGGCAAGTCCTATAAAGAAAGATTGAAGATTATGAAGCTTCCAAGCCTCCGTTATCGACGTCTGCGTGGGGACCTCATTGAAGTATACAAGTATACTCATGGTTTATACAAGGTGCCCGAAGGATTACTAGAATTTGAAACAAGAACCAACACCAGGGGCCACGGCCATAAACTAAAAAAACTGCGCTGCAACTTCTCCACGCGCCAACATTTCTTCTCGCTTCGAATTACCGACATGTGGAACAGCCTCTCTGATTACATCGTTGGCGCTCCAAGTATGAACGCGTTCAAGAACAGACTAGATAAAGCTATGGAAAAATATATGTTCAGACTTGAAATGCCTAGCACCATAAGCTCCTTATCGAACCCGGGGGAAGTCTAGTAGCTACTTCAAACTATCGCCAGTCATGAAAAGATCCGATCAAATGATACGAGTTTAGATCTATGAACAAGGCACGAAAAGGAAAAGAATCGGCGACAGGCCACATCAGGCCTACATTTTCAGCGCCGACATCATTATGTTATGTTATGTTATGTGGAATAGCCACCCTGATAGCATCGTTGGCGCTCCCAGTATGAACGCGTTCAAGAACAGACTAAATAAAGATATGGAAAATATATGTTCAGACTTGAAATGCCTAGCACCATATCGAACCCGGTGGAAGTCTAGTAGCTATATCAAACTATCGTCAGTCCTGAAAAGATCCGGTCAAATTACACGATTTTAGATCTTCTGTGAACAAGTCATCAAAAGTATCAGAATCGGCGACAGGCCAGATCAAGCCTACTCTTCAGCGCCGACATCACTATGTTATGTTGTTTTTAAGGACGACTCCAATTACATACGGAAATTAACCCAAAACTGCCACCGATCCTCAAAATTCAAGGGAGAAATGAAAGCATAATGATGAAATATTTATTGAACAAAACACGCTAATTGAACACTGACAAGATGAATGATTGAAAAGGTCATAGTAACTAAGCTAATTCAGAACTACTACGAAACTGAGCATGAGATAGGTAACACAGCAAGGACGGTGCACAGTGCACAGCAATTTAAGGGTGGGATGCACGGCGATGGGGACACACAGTAATGATGGTACACACTACACAGTGACAATGGAGCACTGCAATGATGGTGCACAACACGATGGGGCACTGGCTTGATGGTGCACAGCTCAATGGGCATGGGCACTGGACGGATGGTGCACAGGCTGCAGTACAGCACTATGTGGCACTGGGCTGACGGTGCACAGCATTGACTACTGAACTCGGGTTGAGACTCGACTGGTGCTGGTACTGAAGCTGGGAAATACCGTCAAGGCAGGCCTAAATAGGAGCCGTATTTGCTGGCCGGGCAGAGAGTCAGTCCTGCCGAACAATGATGGTCAGCAAGACAATAACTAACAATATTATACTATGGAACAATTTCATTTAACACAACACATGAATACATTCAAAGAATTCAAACACTATATTCAAAACTCGAACATAAAACTAAAGTGCAAATGCACTAACACCCACCTAATATGGACGCTACATGTACATTCGCTAATAGAGACAGCAAGTACGCTCCGACCAAGTGGCAGCAATCGAATTATCAATTGAGGAGAACTAACATAGGCTGCCGGGAACGCCGCGTCAGCATAAAGCAAGGTTGCCAACCGTACCAGCAGCCGTAAAACATACGAGACAAAAAGAAATTAAAATAACTGAAATCCTAAGACAATGTGAATTTCTCTCACAGTTATACGAGTAGAAAAATTGGCCAGAATGAATGTTATGATACTGACCTTAATCCTCTCTAGCAATGGTTAGAAAAATGCTTCTGGTCCAATTGTTAATGGTTTTAAAAATACAGGAACAGATGGCACAAGTCACTCCCTTCAAGTTAAGAAATACTGTTGTTAGAGTGCACTTGCGTTCCCACTATATTCCAGGTACAGTATATACTGGATTGGTTTATTAGTATAGTTTGGCAGAAGCTGTTCTTCAATACAAGTTTCATTTAAGACCAGAGAATATTTCTTATTGACGATTTTATTATTGCTTTTCTTTATTTGGCAAACAAGGCTGTTTGAGGGTTTGATATATTCGAAAATCAAGGTAAATTTGAACTTTAAGATCCCACAAAAAGCCTAATTCGCCAAATGGAAGCAATAAAAAATCGTCGATAAGATATGCTCTATGGTCTTCAATAAAACTTACATTGGTGTCATGCATGTATTGCTGAGACAACGCCTTCGGAGGCGTTTCATTTTCATCTGCATTCCTTCAAACTACCAATAAACTCTAAATTCCTGTAGGGCATTCACAAGGAAACTTGTTACTCACTTTAGATCGAGAATCGAGGGGTTTTATGCCAGCATATAACTGCCGTTTACTTCTCAAGTTAAGCTCAACAACTCAAGTTAAACTTAAATTAGTCAACTAATACCAAACTTCGGTTAGCTCCAATGCAGACTGCAGGATAGTCCACCAACGAACAGATATGATCAGACGAAGAGACTCTACACTTTCCTTGGGTGTTTGTTCATCTTATCACCAAGTATCTTAGGACGTCTTATCAGCAAGTACAGATAGCATCGCAATTTCCTTTGACTAAATTAGATGCAGTGAATTTATGTGTCATACATATCCGAATATATATATTTATTTATATTTTTCCTTGAATGTCAAAGATTAGCATTGCCGCAATAGGCGCTGAGGATTAATTAAATACTGTTCCATGTTGAAATAAATCAGAAGTGATTGGTTAATGATTTATCAAACATAATGATGATTTATTAAACGAAGATGGAATAGACAATAGATTGTTGCTTCTCTCACCCAATTGGTGCTTCTTTAAATTCTCACTTCGACGGCCTGTTCCATTCCGCGATCAAAATTTGAACTGGGAAATGAGCCTCGTAGAAAAAAAAGAGCAGATTTGAAAATTTCCATCAGCTTTGCATGTAATATATACAAAGAATGCCCTCGCAGTCTATTACCATAACTATGATTTTCTTTTAAGCATTTAGTTCGATATAACTAAATAAAAAATTACTGATTAATTTAAGTTGAAAACTACGATTTCATAGACAATATTAACAGTGTGGGATATTTTACATAACGAGGAAAATTGGTTGTACAAATAAATAGGCTTTAAAAAATCTAACAGCCGTCCTTGTGTATACTTGAAACGATTTACAAGCATAAAAATGATCATATTAAGCAATTCATCACATTATAAAGCGAATTTCCATTCCATAACAGGATACAATCTAACAGGATGGTTAAATCTCTCATGCTAGCAAAAAAAGTTCAGACCCGTTTTATTATAATCAAAATCAAGCCAACTCAGCATCGCCAGGTCCTGTAAATTAGAACGAGCGCAAGGAAATACTAACCACAATAGTAAGTTAGAAATCTACTAAATGGTAAAGTTCACTAGATATTAATATACAAATTAAATTCTAGGTTCAACAAAGAATAATTTTTCAAAGCTGATGGTCTGTGGAGACTGTCTTGGCAAGAAAATTATTCCCTGTTCAGCATATCACTCAAAAGGCAAGTGCAATCAACTCTAAATTCATCTGTCCTGGCTAGAATTTCCGCAGCTACTGCGCATATGAAAGCTAGCGATGCAGGATCAATTGAAGACAGTCAATAGCAGAACCTTTTATTACTTTTTTCAACAGCGGGAGAGGAAGTTCTAACATAAATAGAGATACGATTGCTTGACTTGTTCGATCAAATGATTCAGAATTTCAACCAATAAGGAAATGCACGATGTCTCATATAGTCAAACGAACAAATATTTTAGGCAAAGCCCTGGTTGGGTTTCGCGTTCATTTTAGGAATATTAATGAAATCTTAGGAGAAAATATTAGAAATCTTAGTATTAAAGTAGCACCTACTTCACTCTGTGGACATGATTCGAACCTAAAATTTTATGAATATCAACAAATTTACCACACTAGAATATGAACAAATCTAACACACCATTAATCACGAAATCAGCACGAGGGAAAGTGCGGCGGCTGCGCTACTCATTCCAACAGCAAATAAAGTTATGCATGGTGTGGAGCGCTAATATACATTATCTTTCTTTTTTATTAATTCCTATAGGAGCATTGAAAACAGTCCATGCAGCCCCTTGCCTAAACAGCTAGGGTTTGCTGGTGCTTAACAGCTACCTATATGAAAATACGAAAATCGGTATAACGTGGTAAAGGGAAAACGTAAATTCCATTCATTATCTTCGAAAATGCTTGATGCGAGCTCTGAAAGCTCCAACCAAAAACTTCGTCGCACCCACGCCATACGGGAAAATAGCATACTGTAAGAGTCCTTACAGAGATTGAAAATTATAAACGTCAGTGCGAATAGAAAATTTAATGCAGCTCACTTCCATATTTAGTAGGAATCTTTAATACCTATGAATGAAAGCAGTTAGACTGTTCATTTTTATAATATATAAATGATGTAAGCATTATATAATTTTTTAATCTGCCAATCAATTGGCCGATCAATATTTTCGTTCAATCATCCTTGCTTCTAGCCTTGTTATTCTTTTGGGCATTTCCATTGCATTTTCCACAACGAGTCACACCACTTGCCTGGATCCGTAGGATCTTCCGAAACCTGGAACATCCCGTTAGGCTTAAATTCTCCACTTATTTTCGAATCCAACTCTGTTAACGTGCCATCATAAGCGGCTCCCACAGCAATACCCATACCAGCAGCTCCAGCAGGACCTCCTGCAATAAAGCCCAGCGTGCCAGCACCTGTAACAGCAGAGGTGCGAGTAGCACATTTCATAGCAGTTGCGCACCCGTTGTAATCTCCCACGGAGAGATGAACGACTCCTTTAACGTGACCAACTGGAATCGCATCCACCGTTCGGCTCAAGAATTTTACACATTCCACTTGAGTTTCCAGAGCTTCGTCCGGGTCGCCCAAAGCAACTTCCATTACTGATCTCACTTGAGAAACAACAGGGCATTGACGTGTAAAGTTATCTTGCGTCTGCAGGGCACCTTCATGATCGCCGCATACAAGTTGAACCACCGACTTCAGTTGAGAAAAGATAGGAATCGCGTCCATCGCTTCTGAAAAATAGTTAGCACATTAAAAGGATCACGAATATCCAGAAAATGACTTGACTATTCGCACGTAACTGAATGGATTTGAAAGCATACGGTAAATAAAGTTTTTTCACACATTACCTTTCCCTTTACACTTATTCACAGAAATCAAGCAGAAATAAATTTCCCTGGAAACTCCTAAACATCACTAGTGACAGTCACGCTATCAAAAACTCGTGTTCAGTTTACCGGAGCGTCTGAAAAGTTCGAGAATGGCAAGATACAGTTATACACCATAATATAGAATTAATTATATATCTGAGATCTTCATCAAGTACCACAATTACGGCGCAACACGATTGTAATGAAGTGTTGCTGCAAATTTCCCACTACTGTTCGTCAGACTACGAAGTTTAAGTAGGACCGACTCTGACGTGAGTGTCAAATTGATTATAGGAGTTCTGTTCTAACCGTTGAGGCAAGAGGTTCCTTGTGCTAAGCTCCCGTGACAGTAGCCGGCTTCGGCCGGCTGCTACGTCATATTTTCTAGAACTATCTAGTATCTTTTTTGAACTTTGAAAATGCCGTACTGTCCCGCTCCGAGGCGTTGAGCCGGCGGATGCCATGGTGCGACCAGCTACAGTGAAGTTTAACTTCACAAGTTCTGCTCCCCTGAAGTTGCCAAATTCGTTATTTTTGTGCTCCCCTGACGTTGCCAAATTCGTTATTTTTGTGCTCCCCTGAAGTTGCCAAATTCGTTAGTCATTGGTGGACATGACACTTAGACCATTCGAACTTATGAGGTGACGCATTAATTGGCTATTCTGGGATTCAAGATTAGTTCGTCACAACGATTTATCTATCCCCAGAATAGCTATAATTTGTGCGACTTTCCTTCTGACTACCTTAACCACTAGAAATAAAATACCCCATTCTTTCACTTCCTGTCAGGATTACGTGGTTCGAAGTTTGGCGTGAATACAATTTTTCAGCAAATAATTACTAGAGGATTTATAAACCAAGCTTATCATAAATATGCCTTTATGTAATCTACTTAATCAGCCGTAATTCAGAAATTACATTCTATTGCGGCCAATTAGATACAAGAAAGAGATTCAGAGCCGGTGGGGTGGATACGTTTGGTACAGATGTCCGATAAGACATAACACATAAATAATATACTCTAAAATAAAAAGTTAATGTGCTCTATTGATTATTTCACACACTAGCACATCAAATTACACTCTATTCACAAACACATAAACAAGACATTGAAGTTCAAGGCTGTTGGGATTTTCAAACATCACCTTGCGTGAGCAAGCACAAAATCGTATTGTAGCAACGGACCCAGTATTGAAGTTAGCATCGCGAGTGTCGGAATGATAGACAAAGTGTATTTAAGTAAATGGGACGACGCATGCCCCTACATTCCCATTCATGAGCTGGCATGTTGCTTAAGAATTATTTTTGCAACATTAAAGTAACTGAATAATTTTCCATAAATCCCAAGATTATACGAACCTATTTGACACGGATGTGGTTTGGTGGGCCGGATGAAACTTCGGTTTGGGTGTTTAGATTTTACTTGCTATCGTTGGTCACGTTAGCTGGAAATAAGATATATTATTAGTTAATAGGTCAAGAAAGATATTCATGAAACCTACACTAGGCAGGGGCTGGACTCCCATTGTTTAAGCTTAATTAGTAACGTTGTAGATGAGCGTAGTTAATTGACTGCTCGATGACACAAGATTACTAGACTAAATAAAGCTATGGAAAAATTTATGTTCAGACTTGAAATGCCTAGCACCATATCGAACCCGGTGGAAATCTAGTAGCTAGTTCAAACTATCGTCAATCCTGAAAAGGTTCGGTTAAATGACACGATTTTATATCTTCTGTGAACAAGGCACGAAATGGAAAAGAATCGGCGACAGGCCGCATCATGCCTACACTTCAGTGCCGACATCACTATGTTATGTTACAGCTGGCATGTCTGGAATGGTTAATCACAGGCCAAGGCATGGTCAATCCTCAATAGTGCAGTATTTCAATAGTTACTTACACAAGGTGGTTTTGACAGGCAAGACATAAGACGTCAACTTTGATGATAACTACGTTAAATAATTTCAGCTTCAATGAGAATTAGGGCAGATATACCTATTAATCTTATTGACGTTTCCTTATTTGTGCTTGCATTCATTGCCTACGCTAGGTTGGGCTTCGATTACGATTAAGATACCTGTAATCATGAGAATAAAGATTACGTTAAGAGAGCATTATCTTGAAATTACCATTATGTTCCAAGTCAAAAGAGATGCTATGAAACACAAGTCGGCAAACACATATAGCATGTAGATGTACAATCAAGGCCGTGTAGATGAGTGGTGGGCGAAGATTAAGTAGTCTCCC